CAATGTTATGGCTGATCAGACCATTTAGAAACAAAAGTGATAACATAAAGACATAACCTGACTGCACTTGATGGCTTGTTACACAGAACCAGTGATTATAATGCTGTACCAATTTTACCTTTATTCAAAAATTGCAGCTTCAGCAATTTGCATGTTGCCATTGTCAATAATACAATTTTGAAAATATTTCAAATTGCAGCCCAAGTACCGACTGTAGCTGCCGGTAATTCCTAATAGGACGCTGCTTAGTCCGGTAACACTGTGGCCCCACGCACACCACCACCACACACTAACATTTTAACCAATTAAGGCAATTTTAACTGAAAACTACAACTCAGGCCCAGTTTAACTATAAATTAACTGTGGTATGATGTATGACACAAAAGCATTGTTTCATGATTTATTTGATTGCTGGTGTATATATAGTGTGAATTTAATGTGCATAAGTTAAAGGTCAACAAACCAAATCAGTAAATGAATCATTAAGTATAAAGGTGAGTGCTGCTTTTACATAGGAAAAGAAAACATGGATCTGATGGCTGATCCGACAGGGGCTCTTTAGTGAGGCAGGTAAAGGTCTTCTTCAGCTCCTCCACTAAACTGCTAACATCAGTGGTGTTTTTCACCCAGGCCAGGGCCTCGGTCGGGAAGGTCTGTCTGCACTGGAGGACAGCTGTAGAACTTTCTTCTGATCTTCTTCATCCCAGTGGCTTTTAATACAGTTCATACAGTGTGTCCACAGGGAATAGTCACCGGAATCTTCAGTAAATCCAGGCAGATCGAACAAGAGTTTTTCCTGGTCCATGTGAATTCCTTGTTGCGCCATTTCACCGCTCAGAGTTGGTGAATGTCTGGGCTGAGATATCCAAATAAACTGAAGGCATTCAGTGCATTTAAGTGTACAAGATAGACGCCTTATCAGATCAGACTTTGATTCATTCCTGGTCGATGAAACAGTGCGTTGGACTTGAGTTGTGTTTATAGGCCCATTTACAACATAGAACAAAGATTAACTAACTTAGAACTTAGAAACTTACTGCAATGATGAATATTTACATGATGTCTACGTCCAGCCATCTCAGCAACGCAAGTGAGTCTGCTTGGAGCTGTGTGACATTATCAGGTTTCAGTCGTCTATGCTGCAGAAGACACTGATCATTCCCACAACTGCAGTCATTACACAGAAGCAGGAAGGGGCCCCTAATTGGCTCCTAATTAAAAGAGGTGCTGCTGTTCACTAACCCTGTGAGGCAGCTGGTTTAGTCTGTTTGCAACAAGTTAAACCTCTCCCTCACCAGTCAAAACCACTAACAACAAATTAGTACAGCAGATACTTTGACTTGTCAGAGCAGGAAACAGGTCATAACATTAACAAGGCCTCAGTTCCATTTAGTGTAGCAGTAAACCATGTAGGTGAGTTAGCATGCACAAACCCAGAGCCCTGAAACTGGCTCACCAGAATGGAATGCTGCCATCATTATTGTTATTACCTATTCTTTTCCTGCTTTGACAAATCATTTATAGCGCCCCCAGATCCAACTCATTTTTGTGAACTTATTCTCTCACCATGAGGTGGCCCTGGTAAACATATGAAGGAGACAAATTTACTTTTTAAAATTCTGCATCAGCATCAATATAATCATGAGCATGTCAGCATGTTGATGATAGCATTTAGCTCAAACCATCCACTGGCATGGCTATCTCCTGGTGGATTCTACCATTTTCTTTCAAGATTCCCAAAAATGTCATGTTAAAGGGATTGCTATTATTAGTTTCCAGTAGAGGCAATATTGTGCACCTAAAGCTCCTCTATATACTGAATGCAACCTCTCTAAATATCAGAAAACATAAATAGATAGCAATGAGGAGAACACCTTTCGTACTGTAATTTACTGTTGGTCACTGCTTCACAAAATTTCAGTGTTTTGTAGAAACATTGTGGTTCAACATGGTGAACTCCATAAATGGTGACCAATCTGTACATAAAAACCTTCATTCTGAGGTAACAAAAACGCAACAATTCCTGTATTCAGGAGATTATACACCAATGAAGATATACTAGGAATTTCTGCCAATAGATCCTTCTAAATGTTACACACTGGACCTTTAAATGAAAAATGTTTTGTGGAGATATAGCTCTATATGTACCACAATAAGTTGATGGTAGTAAAACACGACTTTTTAATATTACATGTCATTTGAAAAAAATATATAAAAATGTGCACAGTAAAATAAAACACTCATTTCTGATTGCTAAAGGTTCCCTTGGCTTTTATTAACAACCACATGATAAATTAACATCATATGTTGCTGGTACAAACAGCGGTCCTCATCTACTGCCTGCATTCATTCAATAATAAAAAGACAATATCTACATACAGTAATATGAAAGGGTAACAGTCAGAACAGGAATGTGTCAGTATTGGCTTAGCACTGGTCAGCGGATATCCTAAATTTGAATTTAGGACTGGAAAAACACAATCATCATCTTTGGGTTTGTTGTAAACAAACAGTGACACACACACACACACACACACACACACAGAGAAGATCCTCATTATTCTTCTTTTTACCACTTAAAGAATGTGCTATTCAACTTTAAAGAAGTTAAATAAATTGAAAGAAAAAAAAAAAAAAACTACTAAGACATCATATGAAGATGAACCAACACCCCCATGCTGTGTTTCCCCATCAGAAGTAAGGAGCACTTGAATTTAAATTCCGTAAATTGGATTTGCAGCACTGCTATTTAAGGAAGACTGCAAGTGTGTTTACATATGCATATCGACATCCCACCATTATGTATAGTAAAACATTAAAAGAGCTTACCTTGACATGTTTAGTTTTAGCCCATTGTTTTAATGTGAGGGACAATGTTTGGATTTGCATCTCAATGGACGGAAATAAAACTAAACTAACTGATGCCGTGGTCAGATTTCACGTAGCTAACGGACAAATTGACTGGAATTCTATGTTCTTTCATTTGAATAAAACACTAAACATATCAAGTGCTCAGACATTGGGCTAAAACTGTAACTGTATGTCAAAAATGATCATATTAAACAACATTACGACTTCATATCCAGCCACAGTAATGGTGAGCAGGGAAAAACTGACTAAAAATAAAGCTTTTATTTTAAAAATCCTGAGTTAAACAACATTGTCAGTCACACAGTCGCTGTATGACCTCTAACCCCCGTAACGGTGGTCGTGTCTTCGGTGAGCTTTTTTTTTTGCATTTGATTTTTAACAAAGGGTCTGTGCAAAGTGGAGGAACTGGAGTCAGTGGAGTCAGGAACACAGACTGGAGCTAAAACACCTTCAATAGCAATTCATTATCACACCGAGCTCATTTCATTTCTAAAAGCATCTTCAGGAGTGCTTCTTTTCTTCTATCACCTTTTAAGGCACTTAAATACCCCAAAGGAAGAGGTCCCTTTGTTTCAGTGCAGAGCTCCTGATGTTGACCATTTCAGAAGCGACTCCACACATGAGAATGAAGATACACCAAGCGCCCCTTGCAGTTTCCTCAATGTGTCTGACCCTGCTGACAACAGTCCTGCTCCATCTCCCTCTCAGCCCCCATTAGATGTTTTCTGCCTCTCTCTGGGGAACCTCCCTGATGCTGTCCTGGGGTCCAACGCGGGCCGGGGGGCGCCGCCGAATACTCTGGCCGGATGAGATGAGGTCAGCGTAGCCACGGGAGTGAGAGAAGGCATAGGCGGAGCGGCGGGAACGCCGGCCACGCTGGAAGGCTGGTGGCTTTTTCTTCTCCTCCTCTTGCATCTCCATCTCGTACTTCTTCCGGTTTCTCTGGACCTGGGGGATGATGGGAAATAAGCAGGTAACATTAGAGAAACGGTGCTGTGTTATTCATTCCCCTTATTATTACATTATGACTTTCATTTAAAACTTGTATAATTCTTTCAAATTGCAGTTGGATTAAACCATTGGACTTTTAATCTCATCCTCTTCACGGTTCAATTTGAGCCGATTACTTGATACTTCCATAAATATAACAACTCATACTTAAGTTTTTATTAAAAGGTCATGGTTTTGACAATATAATTATTTAGGACTTTTAATCCCAATAGATGGCAAAAAACTGTCAATTATATTACTGTACAAATATGGTGGCCCACACATGTTAACATTTTAGACTTTAAGGTTTTTAACACAAATCATTAATGAATAAAATATAATCCCTCCTGAGACACAGTGGAAGCTCCCAGTCTTAAAGTGTTGTTGGATTTGATAGTTGCTGAGAAGCAAAATCTCTGCTTAGCTACCTAAACAATGTTAAGAGACAAACTAAAAACAGAACAAAAAAAAAATCTACCTAAACAAAACTTGGATAACATCTATAATTCCCGTTTTTTTCCCCATCAAGTGTTTTTATTATTAGTCGTCCTACAAGGAGTTTTAAGTGAAACAAACAGTTTTATTTTAATAATTTATGCTGATGGTTTTGTTTGTTCATTTAGGTCATATCGAGGCAAGAAGATTCTTAATGCCTGTCACCGGGTTGGATTTGGTCAGACAGCGGTGGAAACATTCCTGCTTTTGTCCACAGGGGTCACCAGAATCATCACAAAATTAAAGTTGCTTCTAGTTTAAGTTGTGGATTTTTTCTCTTAAGTACTGAAATGTGACTACCATAAAACTTCATAGTCTCTATTATCTTACTGTACTATAGATATTATATTTGATGCATTACTTTCGCCAGTTTCCACTGTCACAACTGTAATAAGCAACCATTAAATGAGTGTTACAATATGGATTTATGGATTATTGTTCTGATGCCACATGCACATTTTCCTGATACTGGTGATAATTCATGTAGGCCCAGCAGCAGTTCTGTAGGTTGGCTCATCGAGGTCTCACCTTGTCTCCTACAGAGGGCCAGATGGTTTTATGGAGGAACTGAATGCAGATGATGGGCAGCAGGCTGATGCCCACAGTCAGGATGATGGTTAACCACAGGTAGGGCTGACGAAGAGCATTCGATGCTGCACCTACAAGCACAAAATATACATGTTAACAGAGTCACATGTACTGTATGATATCATGCTAGAAGACTGAGGCAAAAGCTACATGTCCCGGTATGATAGTATGATGAGGAAAACAAACATACACAATAAATACTACTGTTATTTTGTTTTTAAATGTTTATCTTGCATACTTGGACAAGAACTAGGTTAGATTTATGCTTCACACAATGCTCGAGTAATATCTCTGCTAAGGGGTTTGGCTTGGGTTTCCAAATCCAATTAAGAGAGCTGCTAACATTACATACAGTATGAAATGCTCACAGGCAGGACCAGCACCATCACAGTATATGCGTCAGTCCTGGAAGTGGCTCTTTAAAACCTTTACCCTTCTGTTCTTGTTTTATTGGGTTTCTGCACTAGTAATAAAAAGGAAACTTTCAGATGCAAACTTATAGTACTAAAAAAAAGCTTTTAAAGAGTGTTTTGGAGTAGAGCCTATAAAGACAGCCAACTGCGTCACAATGTGGTGAATGGTTGGTGACTGACCGGTGAAGGTGAACGCTGAGGGGAAGAGGACGTGGATCCCAGCACTGTGGATGTCAAACATGATGCCAAAGTAGATGGCTATGCTGCCCAAAACTGCAAAGCAGTTGACGAAGGTCCAGTAGGAGGTATCCAGAGAGATCTGACAAACAAGAGATGGAGATAACAGAATCAGCAGGCCAGTCACATAAAATGAATCCATGACATGCTCATCCTCTAAACCTCTTAAAATGCAGTTTTCCTCTTATATTTCTCCGTGGGTAGCATTACGGTTGGAACAATCATCTTATTCCACAGTGGCAGTATCATATGTATTCTGGATTTCTGATTCAGTGCTTAACCAAATATTGATATTGCTTTTTTTATTTAGCAACACAATACTGACGTGTGACTAACCTGCAGGTTGACAATAAAAACGAGCGACGAGGCGGTGACGACGGCAAAGGACTGGTAGTCGGAGGGGGCTTCTCCGTCCTGCCCCATGGTCTGCAGAAAGGCTCCGTAGGGGATGAAGAAGATGATGAGCGAGACGAAGATGCCGTGGAACAAGCTGATGAAGAAGTTCCTGTAGTTGAACAGCGTCCCCTGCTGGCCAGGCAGGTAGAGCTTGGGGAATTTCAGGCTCAGTTTGTCGTTAACGTCCTGCAGCGGGGGGAAGCAGAGGGGTCAGTTAACAGAGTTTTAGATAACTTCGTACTGAGCAGAAGAGAATAAGGTAACAAACAAACAGTGCAAAAGTCCTGGATCTAATTTATGCCAGAGAATAACTAAAAATATTTCTCAGTAATAGTTACTTGAATCTGTAAAACCAACATTTGTTAAAAAAACACTTGAGTTTTAGGAGCAATAAAAGTAAAAAATTTAACTTGAGATCAACCTGTACAAGATCAACTACTTACTAGTAGGAAATGTTTGATGATATTTTGGGCTGAAATTTATACAAAAGATGTGAATGCCATGTACCAATGTACCTGCCAATGACCTTTCTCTGTACCATTCTTTGTGTGTACCTATAGCCTGTTTTTACCTGGTCAAGAAGTCCAACGAGTAGAACAGGTAAGCTGCTGTAGCAGAGATTGTAGAGAGTGATGAACCAGTCTTCATAAGCGACCTGCAGACAGGAAAGCAAAGATTCAGTGTCTGGTGGTGAGAATAACTGACATATGCTGGGATGAGGCTGCATGCATCTGGGAGTAGTATTCATGATGCTGGCTTCATAATGTGATTTTATCACAATTCTTTTCTCTCTTTTTTTTAACTAAAATGAAACTGGAAGAATATATATTTTCTCGTATATTTTCTTCACCCAATTATAGAATCCTTTTTTATCTCCGAGGTAGGGTATAAACAATGCCTAGTTTCTTTTCTTTGTAAAAGTGAAACTGAAAACATAACCTTAAAACGTCTTCATATCTCTTGGCCATATCTTGTCGGTTATCTTCTTACCCTTTTCATTTTCTGACTCAGGGAAGCCAAAAAGCTGCCACACGAGTTTAAACAGGAAGGTCTATTGTTCATTTTCTGATCTTTACCTGCAGCCGCCATGTCTTTGCACCTTGTACTAAGTGATATACAACGTCGAACAAGCAAAGTCAAGTTAGTAGATAGCTCTCTCTGCTATTTAAAGAGAGTATCCTGGCATGTCAGAACCTTTTGGCCTTTTTCCTCACCCAATTTGACAACTTCCACAACGGTTCAGTGATGTTGCCACTTCTGGATTTTGGAGTAAAATCAAAATATTTGGGACTAAATAGACGATAACTTAGATCATCGGTCAAATGCTGCTATGCTGCTGACCTGTGAGGAGTATCCGCTGAAGAATGAGTACCAGAAGTGGACCAGTGTGAAGGCGAAGTTCTTAAAGAAGAAGAACCGCAGGAATTTGCACATTCGGATGTAGGACCAGCGTCCGTGCACCAGCAGGAGGCGCTCCAGGTAACGGAACTGAGCAAAGGCGTAGTCGCTGGACATGACGGCCTGCATCCCCTCCTGACCACTGATACCAACACCGATGTCTGCAGCTAGAGGGACAGAGGATGGGGAGAGATTACAGAATGTAAACCACATGAAAAAAGAAAGCGTGTCATTTAATGTGAGCAGGGATCACTCGTGTCCTTACTCTTGATCATGTTGACGTCGTTGGCTCCATCTCCGATAGACAGTGTCACGGCTTTCTTGTACTTCTTCACCAGACTCACCACGTTAGCTTTCTGCTTCGGTGTGACACGACAGCAGATGACTGCCTCGCACTCACAGGCCATGTCCACAAAGTCAATCTGCAGAGACATTTCACCATGTTTGTTAGAATGTAATCATGTGCTTCAGTGTGCCTGCATATCTCAGTTTAATATATCATTTATTTCACTGTACCTGTCTCAACTCCTTCTCATAGTCATCCATTGGCTGTCCATCCTGAGGGTTGCTGGGAGGCGGTCGCTTTCCCAAACGACGAAGACGCAGGCGGCGACGCTTCTTCTTCTTTTCATACAGAATCTCGTTCTGAGAAAATGAAAATGAAAAGAATAATATCAGCACAATCCAACATGTTGGCTATGTTGAAAACAGATTTTTTTTCCCATAGCCGCATTTCTAAATACTAAAATGAATCATTTGTCATCATTTTAAAATTATTACTCTTGAATGGAACCCACCAGCCATCCCCCGGTGATGATGAGAGCGTTTTTGCCAGGCTGAGGGAAGAAAGGCTCAGCAGGTTTCTTTTTGCCTCGACGGGGAGCTGGAAGCTCGTTTCTCCTGTTGGCCTGACGAATCCTCAGATTTTCACTGGAGACATGGAAATAACAGACAATCTCTTAACCTCAACAAGGACTCAGTGGCATTGTGCTTGAGGTGAGACAGAACAGCTAGGGATTGGTATGCAAGTTAAGGAGAGAGTGGCTGGTTGATTTGACCAGTGGTGAAAATAAATGTTTTATGATCAAAGCAACATTATACAACTATTCTAACAGCTTCAAAATCATTTTGATGCTATACTGACTTGTAACAGGGGCAATAGATCTTTTGTCATTTTCACTCTATTCCTTTATAGAACCTGACTGATCAAACCAATACTGCATTTAAAGAGGTCATGTATGTATGCGTCTGGAATGCAGAAAGAGCACATTCTTTTCTCAGACATTAAATAGAGGGAAAAAGAAACTTCTGACATACAACATGAACACTCGTTGATAATTTATAGTACTGTTTTAGGTTGTGACATTTTAAATTCAACTCACTTGACGTCTTCTCCGTAGTGGATCTGCATGTCGTCTGTCAAAAGTGAACAAGAATATCCAATGTTCTCTGCAGTTTCTGTGCAAAACATAAAACACATTAAAAAGTGAGAGGAGAAAACAAGCTACTTTTTAGTGTTCTTAGTGATCAAATATATCAGATTGTGATCTGATCAGTAAATTTTAAGAAGTATTTCCAGTGTTTATTTAAAAGACAGAGCCACTAAACTTTTTTTTATTAGCATTTTTATATCATCCATTAACAGCAGCATTATTTAATTTTAGATTCTTTATGTAAAGCCAGTTTATTTTTTTTTAAAGAGAGGCAGGGTAACCATTGGTGTTTATACACTGGTGTATATTTATTATTAGTACAAGTCGACTAACAGTAAGACTCCTCTCTCACTCTCCTGTTTTTCCACAAAATTAGCAGAATCATTGTAATCAAGGAAGCATCATCAACAGAAGGCGCTGCACAATGCACAACAACGTGTAGAATATGAAACGTTCACTTCGGTTCACAAGGAAAACCTGATATTTTTCAGTTCCAGCTGAAAACCAACTTTGTCGCGTGAAAAAGGAGACTCTGTACCTTTCTTATCTCCAGTCAGGACCCAGATCTTGATGTCAGCCTTGGCCAGTGTGGCAATGGTCTCTGGTACTCCGTCTTGCAATTTGTCCTCGATGGCTGTTGCCCCGATCAGCTGGAGAGGGATATAGCTGCTTAGATATGGCTGAGGGTCACAGTTTAAACTTATACTTAAAACGTTGTGGCTTCTTCCAAAAGAATACCCACGCACATTTTACAGGCTTCTCTGGTGTTGGTGTAAGTTATACGGGAAACAGAAAAAAACAACACAGAGTTGCTTATTCTGCGAAGGTCAACAGAAAAGAGCCAGGATCCAATTCATTTTCACTTTTTTTAAGTATGCCCCAGTTTCCCCTCTAGACATGTATTACGATATACAGTACATGTATATAAACAGTCTGCTTGGAACAATAATGTGTTTCTGATTTTTTTCCACTGCAAATGTTCATTTCTAAAGATTTCCTGCTGGACACAAGAGGTCTCCTACTTCACTGTAAAGTCCATTCTCAGTGGATGTGCACTGGTGGCTTCAAGTTTTTACATCACACTGTACAAGTTGCTGGAAGTTTCGTTTTCAACTCACCAACAGGTTGCTCTCGATCTCTTCGTACACCCTGTCGAGTGCACTATCTCTGTCGAACATGGCTAACTGTGCTTCTTTGTGTTTCCTGGACCAGGCTTCATACTCGTCTGCGCTGATGTCTTTGTAACACAAGCACAGCGTCCGTAGAGTCGCGTTGGCAAAGATCTGAAGCACAAAACACAGACCATGTTGCCTTCCAGAGAAACAGCTACATACATGCATGTCATTGTATCACAGTGTGTCTGCTGTGCGAACAAACTGCAGTGAAATGAAACGAGAGAATGAGAATAAATCCATGCACACTCACATCCAGGGCTGTCTGGGTAGTTTCTTTATGTCTGGAGTTAGGGGCAAGTCGCTCATAGATGACAGTGTCTGCTCCTTTACAGTAGAGACGAATACGACCATCAGGAAACTTCACTAAAGGGGAAGAGAAGAGACAGCAGGACAGAGGATCAGAGGCGGGACAAAGTCATTGCTTGCAACTCTTCAACCTTGGCTCTGAATTCTTTACTCAAATCCCAAGTCAAGACCTGTGTTAAACATGTTCTAAACAAGTCATTATTTGTTTTTCTGCTGGTGCGCTCTGCCAAACGCACCATTCCCTCCGGATCAGGCAATGTGATTGGCTGCTGCTGGATTCACTCATGTGTTTTGATTTAGTCAAAGTTAGGTCAGCAGAATTGTGACTTGAGTATTTATTGGTTTCAAAGTCTTGCATCAAGCTAAGTCAAGCAAAGCTAAAACTGCAAGAGTGTTTACATCTTAAAATATATTACTTCAAAACTATTATAGCCCAATAATGGTTTAGGTTGTTTAAAGCAACACAGTGTGGAAAGCTTGTTTAACCTTATGCTAGCTAGCATTATATAAGCAGTTCCTAAGCTAGCCTTCTTGACAGATGCATTATCATTTTATGCAAGTCTCAAACTAACTTTTACTTAGGCCAGATTTATTCTATATATTTTAAATGTTATTTTATTTAGTTTTCATGAAATATTTTGGCTGAGTTTTTGTGTGAATTGACTGCAGCTCCCTTGTTGAAGGTATATTACTGTTCGGTCAAGCTACATAGCAGGTTTTGAGCAGCCAGCCAGTCACTACTTTTTATTTATGCATCTATATCTACTGTACACCAACAGACCCAGACCCAAATGACATGTGTTTGTATGTGCGATAGAATGTGTGTGTGTCTGTCCACTCTTACAGATGATAGTCATGCGCTTGCGGTCAGAATTGAAGTCGAGCAACGCCAGCATTTCGTAGGTCATCTCCTGGTCCATCTCCCTGATGGTGATGGTGTCCTGTGTACGAGACAGAAACACGAAGCCAAAGTTCCTGGCGGCAGTCACCAACGCACCCTCATCAGGAGACGCCGCCTGGTACACCAGATCACCTGAGAAAAAGATATGAACCAGTACATGAAGATGTCGAATATCTTCAATATTTCTTCTTTCATACGCTTGATTGGCAAGTTTCACTGCCTTGGTGGTTGCCATTCACTCATCACACCTTAGCTTCACTCAGGCTTCTTCCCCTTTGACCAAAACTAGGATTTTAGGTTTACCTAGGTCATTGTGCTCTACCATGACAGTGTGGCAGAGGGAGAGCAGTTTGAAGAACTCTGTGACATCTTTATCCTTCCTGGAACGGATGCAGGCGACCAAGGAATGATCCATGAACTCAAACCTTTTGTCAGCGAGCCGGTTCCAGCTCCAGTCCACCGGCTGAATGGGGAATACGGAAAAATGGTTGTCAAGACCACAGTACAAATATTCTGTACCTATTCGGATGACATGGCTGATGTGATATTTTAGACCACAAATGAAGATAATCATCCATCACCTTTCAGTATTGTGTAATTCATATTTTTAATGATTGGCTTCATTGAGCATAGTTTAGTATAGTTATAGTATAGTTTAAAAGAAGGTGTCACTTTCCATAACTCAATATAGTTTGGTTATATTTTATCCTACAAATGAAACATTCAGTGAATATTTAACAGTTTGTCACATTTTACATATATTATTTTAAAACTAAACGCTTCTTCTAAAATAAGTGTATTTGATATTTTACCCTTCCTCGATCCAGCGCCACTCCCTCAGCAGTGGTCGGTTCACCTGTGGACAGGAGAGCAAAAACTTATGACAAAACTGCAGATTTATAATACAGGGCACAGCAAGACACAGCTGTAAAAGCAACTTGTGTAAAGTGATTTGAGTGGATTGGGGCTTGTTTTACATTGTCCTTAACAGCTGTATATCCCTGCATTATAACATTCATAGTTTAAATCTCAATTGTTTTTTCCAGACTTTTTTGCATCGTTTTAAATGTAAATTCAAATAAATCTATTTATCGCCCATCTCGAGCTGGTAGCAAAGGAGTTCTTGGCGTTATTAAGCAGAATACTGTAGATCTTGGAGTAATTTTTGATGCAAATCTTTGTTGTTATGATCAAATGAAGAATATTGTCCAGTCATGTTTTTTTATTAGCTAATTTTTGGGCAACGGGCCTTCACCACACCTGTCCTAACCAACCTACAGTAGCTTCCTGTTTCCTGCATTTGATTTTTTTTATTTTGTAACTGACACAGCAAAGCCATTTGCAAACTTTCAAATCTGTCTCTCTATATTTGTTCCGTTCTTATCGAAATTTCACTTCTTCCTGCTGCAGGCAACCAGTTTCCCCAAAGGGATCATTAAAGGCCCATTTTTCACCTTTAAGATAACGCAATACTGCCAACAGGTACAAACTCTTCCTAGTTCCTAGTTCCTGTAAAAGGCAGCAGGTGTCACTCTCTGGCTCTCTTTTTTCACAATTACCTCTGCCTTTACTCTACTGCCTGTATATTTCCATTTCTCCTCTCAGGTTATTTCACAAACATGAGAAGGTGAATTCCCCCGATCCAGGCCATCGTTAGAGGTTCGACACCTTTAAGTAAGGTGTTAATACTGCCAGAGTCTCTCACTGGCTCATGTACGTCTGTTTCAGTCTTTTTAAACAAAACCACTAAAATGTCAAACTGTAGTTTTATGTTTGAGTGAAATAAAGTACATCAATACCGTAGGTGCGTCCAGCGATGGTGCACTTCTTGAACTGCATAATGTTCTGTGTCAGAGTTCCCGTCTTGTCGGAGAAGATGTACTCGATCTGACCGAGCTGCTCGTTTAGGGTGGTGGTTCGAGCCTGGACAGGGGCGAGAAGTGATTTAATGAAAAATGATACCAATAGTAAGATATGAAATCCTACTTTTTATTGCAAGCTGCTGCAGTTCGGATCTGCAGATCGGATTAAGTGCAAAGGAGAAACTCTGGTGACCATGAAACATGCAAAAAACACAGAGATTCAGTGTTTGGTTTGTCCCTTCTGGGCTACTGTAGAAACATGACAGTTGAACATGGCAGACTCTGTAGAAGGTAACCTGCTCCCTCTGTAGATATAAACGCCTTATTCTAAGGTAACAAAACAAAAATTCTCACGTTATTATACACTAATGAAAACATACCTATTATCATATTCCATTTCTGCCAATAGATCCTCACACAGGATCATTACATTGACTCTCCCAGCAACCCAAACTGACTTCCAGCATCCCTAATTTTTTACTTTAATCTCAGAATTATTAGAATTTTATTTATTATTCATTATTTGAGTTTTTTTCTGGCAACTTTACAACTTTCATCTGGGAATATTAAGCCTTTTCCTTTGCTCCATATTTAGTTTATTCCCCACAATAGCTAATACCCCTTCAAACTAAAGACATTTTTACTAACGTGTCTTTGGTTCCTCTTGTTTTGTGGAAAAAGGATGACAAAAGCAGTAGTAGTACTAGTAGCAGCAGTAGCAGTAGCAGTAGCATACCTTAGCTGGTGTATCTTTCTCTGCGAAATACATCTGCAGGTCCCAGTTGATGAACTTACTCTGACCCAGACGGATCACCTCCACACTGAACACAAAGCACACAAACAGGAGATGACACTACTGCATCTGATTTTTATTTTCTCAAACCCAATCTGTACCCAGGTAACACATGCTCTGTGTTTGAGTTGATTAGTTGAAAGATTTAAAGCTGCTATGTGCAATCCATAGAGAATGTAACGTTGCTTTCTTCTGGCAACATCTATAAAGTCTCTTGGTGGTGGTTTTACTGACCTGACATATAGTGAAATGGGCACCATGGTGTTGAGGACGATAATGTATCCCCAGAAGCTGAGAAAGCCTCTGTAGGAGGCGTTCTGGTTTTTGCCGTCAAACAGATACCAGGCATTGGAGCCAATCTCCTCGTACCAGAAAGTGTGACCGATGGCCAGACCTGCCGACACCAGGATCAGAAGCACGAAGATCTACAGGGAGGGTGGGAACCAAAACACAGTTAATACACTGATAACTTTTCATGTTACTTCATCACATTAAAACATCACCTCAAATAAAAGAAAACACACCAAGAACATGCAGCTGGTAGAGAAAAGGCAATGAACACCGATAGTGTTGAAGTTTGCATACAACTCAGACTTACTGTGTAAACCATGTAGTTCATCAGCTCGTCAATTTTGGTTCTCTTAAACCTCGTTTTCCCGCTATTCCTCATGATTTTGGTGTCAGCTCCTACAGAAACATGTATCAAAATGGTGAATGCTAGCCATTGTAACGGTCGTTATTAGTTATAACTCATCAATAATATTCTAAATTATTTACTCTCATGATCATGCATGTATAAGACGACCTGGATACCAGACTCAAAGACGGCACCACTTCAGTCTAATTAGAGTCGCTTGCAGTCGATAAATTATTTGTCTGTCTTTTAAACGGCCAACTATTCTGATAATAATAGTTAGTTGCAGCCCTACTTTCAGGGGCATGTGACACACTCATACGCGCGGTAGTGTTTTACCCCACCTGCAAGTTCGCACTCGATCCACAGACTTTACATTGGGATGACATCACAGATTTTCAAAGCCACTTCTCTCACCTTGAGTAAACTTTTAAAAAATAAAACCCACATGGATCAAAAATCAAAACTGAAAGAGTAATAACTCACAATTTCTTACAGACATCTCCTTTATAATGGTGATCTATGGGGAAAATGCTTTTTGCTGCCACGGGGCAAAATTGGAAGCAAGCTGTACTATGTCTTCCATTATCATGGTTAAATCTAATCGAAGGAGAAAATTAATGTTCATTAGGACTGCAACTGCCAATTATTTTCATTTTCTCAATCAATAAACCTTAAAGTTGATAAAATAATGATAAATGCCCAATGAGATGTCTTGAAATGTCACCCAAAGATTTTATCATCATGTGAGACAAAGAAAAGCATCCTCCCGCTGAAAAAGCTGAAAGTATAGAATATAGGGCATTTTTGCTTAAAGAATCTTTTTAAATAATTAATCAGTGATAAAAATTGTTTTGAACTCATCAAGTTGTTGATGCAACTAACTGTTTCAGCTCTGAAGCAAGAAAAAACTAATCTGATACCCTTTCTATATTACGTTGTACCAACTTTAAAATTTGTCAACTTTAGCTAAAAGCGATTACTTTGCAATCAACTAAAGTGATGTCTTCTTATGTTACAGTGAGGCACTCGAGAGTTCACACCTGCGAAGATGACCAGCCCGTGACACTCCTCCGTGTTCCTGATCTTGCAGCCTCGAAGCAGCAGGTTGTCCAGCTCCAGGGGGTAACGCTCACTCTGCCACAGCATCACCCCTGTGAACTTGTCCAGGCGGTTGTTTGGCTCCTCGCACTCGATCAGAGCTTCAGGAAACACAAAAACGGACATGAGGATTTCATTCCAGTCAAAACTATTCAAATTCATCTCTGGGCAGCATGAATTAGCTCAGTAACGTAAAGATATTTTGCTCTGGACCAAAGACAAAAGAAGGCAACCTTTTCCTCGAGTACCCTCTGACACTACTGCTAAAATTCCATTTAGCTACAGTGGCTACTACCTCAAGACTTTAGTCACATTTTCAGGTTTTTATTTTGTTAATTGCACAGTAGAATGAATTGTGGAACGGTACAGTTAAAAGTTAATAATTTATCAATAATGAAAATATTTCTTCAGTTACTGATTTTTATTCCTCTCAAAACTCATTTAAAAAGATTTTATATTTTTAAAATTGATATTCATTTTAAAAATTAGGTTTTGTTGTCAGGGGGGTCAAGTGATTTAGGTTTATGCTAATAAACAGCTCTATACCATGCTCACCATCAAACTCAGCTAGCTGACGTTCCTCCTGCAGCCTTTCATCAGTCACTCGGAGTCCCATCTTAAACTTCAGGTTGGTCTCTCTGCAGACGAAGAAAACATACACAAAAGGACTGAAAACAAGCCAATGAAAACAGAATCTAAACAGATTCTAATTCGGATTAAGATGGAAACAGTTTGGGAGAAGGATTTTTAAAGTAGGATTTCTCTGCATATTGTTAAAGATAACTAAATAAGTTAATTCACAATTCATTCTCTGATATGTCCCATGCCCCAAAGCTCTGAAAAACACAAAGAAAGGGGATAGTGATGTTTAAGAGTTGCTGCGGTAGCGATAATCAAACAGACAGGCCTGTTTGACTGTATATACTGCCTTTCAGTGAGAAACGCCTTTAAATCACAATGGTCACATGGCTGAGCTTTTGCAGAGCTTGTTTAACCCTTGGCAAAAGCTCTTTATACATTTAAGTCTCCTCTTATCAGTGAGTAATTTGTTGACTGAACTATTGAGAAAACGACATGGTCAAACAAAAACTTATCAGGGCAAAGAGAGCTGCTCCAGCAGTCACTACATACAAAATGTAGTCCATTACTCAATTTGAACATAGCAATCAGTATAGATATTACACTACAAAACTATGTGGGCATAACACTGAATTATGATAACGATTTATTCTGTTGGCAGAAGGTTCATCTAAAAAGGTGAAGTGTCTTACCCGTCGAGCTCTGCTGTTTCTACATAACACAAGCTGTTTGGGTTTGAGCTGGATAACAGCAGGATGTCAGCCTGAGGAGAATAAAAAAAATATATCAACCATACTTGTGAGTTTACTTGTTAATTACTAATAGTCAAATAAACATAATGAAAAAGACCAGGTTTTCCTTGGATGGGTGTGGATAAGAAAACCTTTGAAAATTAAACATCCTAACGCCAAATGGCTCCCTTGGAAAACATTATGCAATTGACGACATACGGTAATTCAAATATTTTTTTCTACAGGAGCCATTTGGTGTGTAGATTCTGTTTTCAAATATAAATAGTAATCCATGTTGTTTTCAGAGAGCTTACTGACAATGAAACTAAGCAGATCCAAGGCAGTTTAAACCTAAAATGTACTGAAAATAATTATACATTTGTGAAAATAAAAAAATAAAAATAGGTATTAATGAAGTTAGTCAAAGTTAAATTTGTGTCATTTCTGTATTTTGTGGATGCTTGAGACTTTTCTGATGGTTTCAAGTTGCACCATTAGATCAGCTTGAAATGGCAGGAGGTCACAGATGTGCCTTTAAACAAACTGTGTACGTCAGTCAGTCAGCAAGTCACAGTCCAGTGAAAGTTACGCAGGCAAAATCATCACACCGGAATAAAGTCGTTCTTCTTCAGACGAACCACATCTCCAACCTCGATGTCCCTCCACTTTGACTCTTGAAACCTGAGAGGATCAATCGCAGTTTTTACACATGTATATGAAATGTTCATGTTCATGTACTGGCACACATTGTACAGGAACAATCCTTACATACAACACAACATATGCTTTGATACACAAGGGGTTAAAGCAGATCCTGTTTCAAAATGCTGTATAAATGTTAAAATATTTCCTTTTATTCTATTTAGTAGCTTAACACATTATCCACCATCTTTAAAAAATGAGAAAGACCAGCAGCCTAAGTCCTTGGTTGACATCTTGTTTTATAAATCAAATCTAATAGAAAATGAACTCTGTTCTGACCTTCCGTCCAACAGCACCTCACACTTCCTGTTGTTGATCTCCTTGTCCATCCTGTGACGCGCCTGGAAGAAAAACAAAATGAAAAATAAGTAATCAATTAATTTATGAGTTTTTGCCCTTAATAATGTTTTTAATCTTCCACCTTTGCATAAATAATTAAAAAGCTTTCAAACTTTGTATTAAAAATAAATAAAAAACACATATATA